CATAGGGGTATTTGGCTATAGGTTTGTCATATTACTAAATATATATATATGTGGAACCCAATTTTCCTATATCTAATCCAGAAATAAATAATAAATATTTCTGAATTTGACTCGTATTATATTAATTATATCATGTAGCGAATTATCTTTGACTAACTCAAATATCATTTTAAGTTAGAGAGGACATTATGTCATTTAAAGTCGGGATTATTTCATTTAAGTAGCTCACTCTTGATAAGTTTTGTTAACAATATCCAATCATATACAATATCTAATATAAATTTGTTTCGTTTTCATTTTCTTTTGCAACAGAATATCTTCATTTCGTTTCTATCTTAATTATATAATATTCATCTGACTAACAAGCGAAACCTAAACAGAAGAGAAGAAGAGAAAAGTTGCCAAGTCTTGTAAGTGAACAAAACAAGAAATATGACAAAGAATGCACCGGAAAAGATGGAGACCGGAGGAGTGATCATAAAGAACGATGTGTATATGCATAGAAGATATTGGGCAATAACATTGCTTTTGTCCATAGCTGTTATGGTAATATCTCTAGTCATATTTTGCCTGACTGGAAAACCAAACAATATGGAAGACTCAATAGCATTTGGAGTAATAGTCACTGCCAGGGTTACTATAGCACTATATACATCACTCGGAGCGATGGTTATGTATTTTGATCCTCCTCTTCCTCCTAAAGACTCACCTCCAAAGATTAGTCCGGACCAGAGAGCGGCTTATGAGGTGTTATGTGTCGTGTTACTTTGCGTTGTAACGCTCATGTTAGGAAAAATGGTGGAAGTTTTCTTCTTTACTATGTCCTTCATCATTGCCTCGATTGCACTTCACCAACTTTTTCATCCGACGATTGATGACCATGACGATGACTTTGACATGATGGTGAACCATTTGAGTTTCATCATTAGCTTAGGGATAGTAACGGGATTAGTCTGTTTAATTCCCAATTTGTTCGTCTTCCTTGGATGGTTCTCTATATTTGTCTTGACCTACGTTTATATTTTAAGATTTAATTTCCCTGACAAGACCATTGTTGAAGTGCTTGCCATGGTATCTGAGTTTTTAGATCTTAAATAATTCCTTAGATTTCGTGATTTTTTAGTGTTTTCTGAATCTCTAACAGAAATCGATGTGTTAATCTAGCTTCTTTTTTTTTTTTTATTGTGGCTAGTGTTTATCTATTATCTTTTTTTTAAGGAAGAATTGCATTTTTCGCATAATTATCTAAATCAATTTAACCGTTCAGCTAGATATTCGCACAAACAAACTGAATTAACCAAATGTTTGGAGAGAAGCTATATCTTCTAGTTTTTACTATAAGTTTGATCAATTAGTTTGGCTAATTCAGTTTGGTTCGGTTTCGGTAATTCTGGTTCTTTTATAATTTAGCTCGGATTCGGAAATTTCGGTTTAGGTTCGATAATTTTGCCAACCCTAGTATTACATGTGCACCAAAGAGTAAACACAAAGCACGAATTCGTTTTTTTTTTTTAACGTCTCGAATTTATTCAAACTAAAGTATCGATAAGCAACAATAGTGTTTAATCAAAACAACAAAATCAGATTAAAAAACCAACAACAGAGCATCAAACTCTTTTATCGGAAGGAGGAAAAGATGCCAAAGCCGAAACCTCTTAACGAAACACGAGTTCTTTTCAAGTTAAACAACTCTATAATTTCAAACCCGAACCTTCAAGTTTTTCTCCTCAATAATCTTACTGATTTTGTTCTCCATTTCAGGACTAAAATGATTCTTCCAATCACCGACTTCTCCTTTCCGGAAATAGCTGTAGTGATGCACATTGTTCAACGTCTTTCCCGTTTTGTTTATCTCCAAACCACTCAGATTACGTAAGGAACACAACTCCAAGATCTTGTCCAAAGATCCACTATTTTCTTCTTCCTCGCTAAATGGACAACCCAAGAACTCTGCAAGTTTCTTGATTTGTCCTCGAGGCTCTGCTTTCAACTCCTCGTACCTCATGAAAAGCACATGCTTGGGATCTTTCAAACTTCCTCTCCAATAGCTCAAAACGTTTTCCCAAAATGGACCGTAGAAGCTAACTCCTCTGCAAAAAAAATCAAACATAGACTCGAGAGTAATATCGCTCTTCTCTAGATTAGTGCACCTGAAATACCAATGTGAGACCAAGACGTCTTTTGGATTCCTACACAAGTACACAATATTGCAAGGAGTGTCCTTGAGAGTCTCTTGCAATGTATGCAACGGCATGTGAGTTGCAAACATCCTCGGAGATGATGTTGATGAGAACTTGGTCAAGTCCGGTGTTGAGGTTTTGAGATACAGATTGATCTCTAAGAACGGTACTAAGGTATGAGGATTATCGGATAGTAGAGGATGAACATCATCGGGAAGATGTTTCGATCTCTCCATGAGAGCAAATGCTAGTGCCTTAAGCCAAGTTGTGCCGGATTTGGGAATAGAAGCGAGGATTATATCGGTGTCTTGAGGCTTGAAACCTTTCTTGAAATTAAGGATTCCTTGGAGAGCGTCGGAGTAATACCAACATCTTTGGTACTTGTAGAGCTTATTTCTAAAGGAAGTGAAGAGATCAAAGACTTGGCCTCTTCGCTTAGGTTGTCATCTCTCAAGTCCATATCTAAAGCTCCTTTTTTATCCTTTTCTTTTGTGAGTTACCAAAAATGCAAACATCACCATTTTAAGCTAAGCAAAGAGATCGAGAGAAAAAGATTAATTATTTAGATCTGAGTGAAGATATCAAGAAATATAACATGTGGTTGGTGGATATTAAGAAATAAGACATGTGGATGGTTTGGTGGGTGTGTCGTATCTGTTCTGATTTTCGATCCCATAGATTCCCTATTTTAAATTCTACTCTCTTTATATGATGACTTTAAGATCAAATGACTTAGAGACTCTCAATACAATCCTTTAACGGCTAAAACAACTCATCCTTAACTTCTTTAACTGCCTTCTAACAGACTTCTCTTCCTATCCACACTTCTGATACTCACTTCTGCTTCTACTTTACTGATCTGGAAGCAAAGCATAGACCAACTCTGTTTTGCTAGACTTTTTTATTGTAATAGTATGTCAACAGTAGTGTAAAGCTTTAGCCAATAAACATCTCTCTACTTTTCAGTAACTACTCTCTGAGTTCTCTTCAGTTTTGGACTTAAGTTTGTGTATTTGTAAAAAGCTTTGGATTATACGGTGAAATTGAGATCTAAAACAATCGTTTCCCTAAAGAAAATGGGCCTGTGAAGTGTGAAACTCACAAGTATGCAAAGTTTAAGAACTATAACTTGTGCTTCAATCAAAGTCACCAACTTTTGAAGAACTATACAAACAGAGTAAAATGCATGAACCTAAACTGTTACTCCATGTAGTAATAATGTCTATCAATTATTAACATTTCTCCATCAAGAACTGAAAACTTACTCCATGTAGTAATGTCTCTATCAATTATTTACATTTCTCCATCAAGAACTGAAATCAGACTCAAATCAAAACCTCCTAAAAATCCTTGCTTTATACGTAATTCTCTCAAGAACACAAGAAACAAAGAAACCCTAACTCTTACTTCAAGAAACCCTAATCAATCCTCACACATTTCCACCACCAAAACCAACTAATCTTCATCATCGAACACAGCTTTAGAGATCCTCTGACTCACCAGTTTCCTCACAACAAGCCTCATGGTATCAATCGCCAAGCAAATCTCACGACCTTCTTTGTTCCAAAACATCCAAACCGCAACGAAATCACAAATCTCCTTAAGATCATAATCACCAACGAATTTGCTCCAACCTTTCTTCAAATCAATCTTGTCCTCTTTCTCGTCAATCCACATCTTTATCTCATGAATCTTCCCGTCTGGTCCATACACAGAAACCACCATCCATTCTTTACCTCTAACAAAAAGATCAAACTCATTCGTAAGCTTCGACTTCGATAACACTAGCTTGCTCTGTTTTTCATCTTCAAAGTTTACGTCTTTCTTCGTCAGTTGCATTCGAATCGGTTTGCTGCATAGACCAATCAAACCGGGATGGACCATCTTTGCCGGTGGAGTCGCCGGAACATTCCATCGCCGGAGTAAAGCTAAAGTTGCGTCGGAATCGTCTTCTTCGAGCTCTGGTTCTGGTTCTTCGTTAAGGTCGAACGCGAACTTCTTGGGACGTGGTTTTTCGTCTTCGTCGTCTTCTTCTGGGGTTGGACTTCTTGATCTCTTTGATGAAGACGCCATTGATGAAGAAGCAATCGATGAAGAAGCCATTGATGAAGACGCTCTGTTTCTTTCTCCGTGAAAGTTATTCGTTTAAAGACGATACAGATTTCTTTGAGTTTTTTTTTTTTTCTCTCGAGTGAAAAAAATGGGATTGGATCAATAACGCAAATTCACTTCCACTATATATAGACTTATTATTTATTTTTCCCCACTTTTTTTTAATTAAAAAGGTTAATTATTTGTTTAGTTGATGATAATCCTACCTTTTGTTCAGTAATAGAGCTTTTGTTAATTCGTTTATTGAGTACTTAATTATCTCAGAATTGACAATAGATTAATGAGGAGAAACTGAGACAAAATCTTAATTTTTTTTGGTTTTTGGGTAAAAAAAACTACCTAAGCTCATAGCTTTGAAGGAGTAAAATTAAGCCTTACAAATGTAACCGGAAGAATGAGGCCATGTGACCATGTCATTAGCAAATTACATAAATGTGCATTCAATATGGAAATTAAGAAGCTTTATGTTGATGATTGACCAATATTGATACAAATTATAAAGGGGGTTAATCCTGTAATTGTGGCTATACCTCAACCTGTTACTGTAATTGTGTATTATGGATTGTGTTTATGCAGAAGTTAAAAAGTTACTGTAATTGTGAAGACTAATTATAATACTCACTTAAGTCACAAGTATGCTAAACTTATGAATTGTGACTTGTTTATCAAGCAAAGTCGCCACTTTTGAGGAATTATACAAACATGGAAAAAATGCATGAACCAAAAACTGTTATTCAATTTCCATGTAATCAATGTTTCGTTTCAATTATTTACATTTCTCGACTAAAGAACTGATAATGGAACTCAAATCAAAACCCTAAAAACCCTTGCTTTTTACGTTTCTCTCAAGAAACAAAACCCTACTACTGTATTCTTCAAAACCATTGATGATCTCTACACAAACTCTTTCTACATTTTCACTTGAACAAAACCCTAATCAATCCTCGTAAAGAAACCCTAATCTGAATCATCGAAAACAGCCTTAGAGATCCTCTTACTGACCTGTTTCCTAAAAGAAAGCCTTGTTTTGTCAATAGCTAAGCAAATCTCACGACTCTGTTTGTGTCTAAACATCCAAACCGTAACGAAATCACAAATCTCCTTAAGCTCATAATCTTCAACGAATTTCCTCCATCCAAACGTCAAATCAAGCTCGTTCTTCTTCTCATTAAGATACATCTTCATCTCATGAACTTTCCCATCTGGTCCATACACAGAAACCCTAATTCCATCTTCCCTTTGTTGAATCTTTGTTTCTTCAAGAAAAGGAAGAAACTTTTTCGTCACTTGCGATTTCGATAACCCTAACTTCAAGAAAAAGAAGCTCTGTTTTCCTTCTCTCTTCGTCATTTGCTTACGAATCGGTTTGCTGCATTTCTCAATCAAGTTTCGTTTTATAATATTTTCCGGTGGAATCGCCGGAATATTCCATCGGCGAAGTAAACCTAAAGTTGAATCGGAATCGTCTTCTTCTTCTTCTTTGCTTTTCGCTATGAACTTCATCCTCTTGTCCCATTCTTCTTTCTCAGCTTCTTCGTGTTTATTCTTCTTAGTCCATCGCTCTTTATCTTTTTCGTCTAACCATAAAACAGAGTCCAAGCTTTTCTCTTGATGCTCTGTTTCTTCTTCCTCCTCTGTTATGTCGCGTAGAAACATAATGTGGCTTAAAGCGAATGCAGCTTCTTGTTCTTCTGTTTCTTTGTCGATGTGTTCTTCGTTCTCTTCTTCCTCTACTTGTGCTTCTTTGTTCAGGTCGATTTCTTCTTCGGGTTCTGGTTCTTTGTTAAGATCGAATTTGTGCTTCTTGAAATGGGTTTCTTCTTCTTCTTCTTGGTCATCTTCACTTCTTGGTCTCTTGCTTGATGAAGACGCCATTAATGATCTCTGTTTCTTTCTCCAAGAAAGTTCTCGTTAAAGACTTTGTTTTGGTTTTTCTCTGCTTTTGCTCTCTCAAGTGAAAATGGGATTGGATCAATAAACAAACAACCTCCACTATATATAGACTTTTTGTGCAAAGATTTATTTTTCATTTATGTTAATGCTCCTTTTTTTTTGCATTAATACAGTTTAGTTTATTGTTCTATTATTGATACTTGAATAATATCATTAGTTAATTGCGCTAAACAATGAGGAGAATTTGAGACAAATTTTGCACCCATTGTTAAAGTTTTGTTAGAAG